TGATGAGTATGAAATTAGTGTTTCCTCTCCCTCTGCCTCTCCCTCTTCCTCTCCCTCTCCTCCCACGTGCTGCGTGGCCAGGACTGTAGTGCAGAAGAAAAGAGTCAGTCAGCAGAGGAAGCAGGCATGTAAGAGGGATCTGAGCACTTTGCTGCCACCCCCTCCTTGACCCCCGCCAGAAACCAGCCACCAGCGCAGTGTCTGAGCCATTGCTGCTGCACTGTAGGAAGCCCAGACATCCTATGAAATGCTCTGAAAAGAGCTTGCAATTATGTTTATACCTCCCAGGGGTGCAATGAAAGTTTTAAAGTTTAGGGCTGAAAAGACTTCCTAACAGGTGTCAAATTTAGTGTCAGCACACAGTTCCTCATGAACCAAATGACACATCCTCTTCAAACTCTCCCAGGAAATTTGGCAGTTCCTATTGCTAAAGCCCCTGTCATTAACTTGAAAGAAAAATAGAGAGAGAGAAAAAAACCTGACATGCTGCCTGGAGGCTGGTGGTGCTCAGAAGTTTAAGTCTTAGTGGCAAAGAAAAGGAGACAGCAATCTACCTGAGCACATCAACTGTCTGCCTAATGGCATGGACAGATGTGTTTGTGAAGATCTGCAACTCGTGAATGAAATTATCAGGTTGCTACGACAGGTCCATCATTCAAACACTACCCAAATTATTTTCTATATTATTTGTGCTACCGTCACACATCTATTTTGAGGACGGACTTGAAGGATCTGTTTTCAGAGACAGCATTAGGCACAGAGTGGTCACAGGCACTACATAGGACCCCAGCTGGCCACTTTGCCATCTCAATACAGCAAAAAGCCAATCTCATTCTGCAGTCAGACCACTCACTGCTGCTTATGTCTTTGTTTTGGCCTAGAAGAGATTTTCTGCATGCGAAAAAGAGAAGTCTCAAAGACCAGTTTCTTTACAATGCTTTCAGTTGGTTACCCTTCTCTTTTACCAAACTGTACCTGTACAAAATACTTTTGAAGGCATATTGAGATTGTGCTTTGAACAGTATAACTTTTTTCATCAAAACCAGTTTGCTCATCCCCAAAACATTAGATTTCCTTGAGTTTGGAAAGAATAATCCTGAATAGAGTTTCATTTCTATGGTGTGGCTGGAATTAATTTTTTAAAAGCTCAGCAAATGTGCACAAAGTTTCTAAGTGATGTGCATTTTGTCATGCTCTCCAGTAATGTTTCACTGTACCCAGACCTGCATTTGCAAGAATAATTCTGATTTTAAATTGCATGAGTTCAAATATGGGAGAGCACTCACTCTTCTCTCTAAAGAGTACAGGCATCACCTTACACTTGTAAAGTTATAAACACGATATGAACAATACAAGCAAGTGTACCTCAATGGCAGCACATTCCTGTATGACACTGGCTTAATTGCATCAATTTGAAATCGAGTATATATATAGAACCTTCTGTGTCAATTTAGCTGTAGCCTAATATAAGCATTTTCGGTTTCTGGTTCCTTGGTAACTGGAGGCTCATTCCTTACTGGTAGGATCATATCCCTTGCAAATACATGGGCACTAGCTGGTCGCAGCAGTTTGAGGCTGGGAGCAGGGTGGCTGTCAGCACCGGCTCCGCGCCGTGCTCAGGGCACTGCAGCTTGTGTGCTGCTGCAGTGGGGTGCGTACCAGATAACCAGGTGGTCATCAGCTGTGGTCCCACATCCCAAACACAGGTACACAGCCAGTAGGACCATCTTCTTGGTTATTTCAGGCTTCTTTTTAGCAACTTGCAGACTGCCTGTGGTATAAAGGAGCCATCGAGATCCATCAGGGGAGGAAAGGACATCAGGGAATTTAATTTTTGCAAGGCCCCAGATGTGTTTTGATGGCATCACAGCATTTCAAATTGATCGCAGGTTTAATGACTTTCTTAAGTAGCCTAACTGATGGGTAACCTCCCGTAGAGACTGAAGTACTTCACAGAGCAAGTGAATATCTTTGCAGTCCCCAAAGGCTGCAGTATTTTGCATGTGTTAGTCCCCTGAAGACCAGCATAGCAGACATCCCAAACATAGAGTGTTTTTGGAAATCCCAAATGCCTAAACTTTACCATAGTGTTATCTTGATTGTGACTCAAGCCCCGTAGCATCAGAGAGAAGAGGTAGGTGTTTACACCTCTCTCTCTTTTCCTGTTTCTCTGGGATTTGCCTGAACATTCAGAAAAGGTAAGGAAAGCCTTAAACTCCTGCCCGTGCTTGCTGCACTGAGACCAAAATCTCCTGTAAGCTTGCCAGACCTTTTACAGCTGCACCCTGGGGATTTAACACTGTGCAGCTTATGAGTTTATATGAAATTTCATAAAAGAGAAGCTCTGTATTTTCACATAAATACATTTATTTGGGGAAAGATCAAGAAATGCCAATATATTTCAAACCAGTTCCCTGCTGCATTAAAGAATGTGAAATATTCATGTGAACATTCGCTAAGCCTATCCAGTGAAATCTATTTCTCTCTCTATTTAGCATGCAGGCTGCAGCAGCTGAAGGTTGTTCAGGCTTTTCATTAGGAAGGAAAGTAAGGACAATTTGTGAAAACCACATGGAAGTAATCATAAGGAACAGTACTGAAGGGGTTTTAGAACAAGATCTTGTAAGTTACCTTGTAAGCATGCTTTCTCTTTCATGTGTTTGTTTCTTATATGGTGCTTCACTGCTTCAAACTGTAAATTTATATTTATGAACGTAATTAGAAGTGCAATATAATAAGCTTTCATGATACAGAAAGAAAAATCTAAGGGGCAGCACACACATTTTCAGAATATATATCTCAGGCTCTCTAAATTCTCAAGTAGGTAGCACCACTCAAAGCAAATTCCTATTTCTTTGCTCAACCATTACTCTTGATAATGTAATGAGTTACTTTCTCATCAGTGTTATGTTTTGTGTATCCATCCAGACCCTCTTGTGGCCCAATATCTCACAAATAATCCCTTTCTTCACCCACCTGAACTCTGATAACTGTAGCAGGAAGTGGAAAATGAGGAAATCTGAGTGCCTATGATCTCTGATTCCACCAGGGAAAAATATCTGACCTTGGGAATTCATGTAAGTCTCCTTATGCTATGGATTCTCTAAGTATTAAATGGAAATGGCATTTACTTTCCATTGAGAGATGCTAATATTTAAATATTGCTTCGAAGATCTTCAGATAAAGAGAGCTATATATGCACAAATTTTTATGCTTCTTTCTGCTTTCTTATACCTTCAAGCTATAATAATACACTGAAACACTGAAATTTTGTCACAAAATAAAATTGTACTTGGAAATGTCAGGCCTGCACACACCAATGATCCAGAAGTCACTAAAGGCAGTTTATCAGAAGACGATGTCATCTAACCTCTCCAGATACTGAATACTGCGACAAAGAAGATAATCACTTACCAGAACCAGCCATGACCATTTCCCCCATGTACTGAGAACTATAACAAGTTTGTAAATGATGTCAGAAACAGTCCCCAGGGTGTGGTTTGAATACATCCACTTTGACTTGGAGAGCAGCGGTGGCGGGGATGAAGAATGCTCAGCTGCATGGGCAGAAGCCATGCCATGCCACTCGGCAGGTTCCCGGTATTTAGTAATAGACACACTACCTGGGAAACTCTCCTATGTCTTCAAATTTTAGTACTCAAACCTACATGGGTAATGCTCTGAAGAGGATGACTTAACACCTTAACTAGCACCTGAGATCTCTAACAGCTGGAAGCATTTTTTATAAAGATTACAGGAAGAAATTTTACTCATTCGTTTTTTTCATGGAGACCCTGAACACTACAGAGCCAGAGATTTTAGCAGAGCCAGCCTGGTCATGGCTGGAATACTAAAGCAATAAAGTATTCAGTAAATTGCCTATCGTGCTACTTGTAATTTATAAAGCAAATATATGTTTCATTGAAATTAAATTTTTTGTTGATCCTGTGAACTTTTGTATTATGTTACTGCTATACCAGCACAAAATTCAGCCAAACTAACCTCAACATAGAACAGATTCAAAGAATCCAAGTCTTCTCTGTTTGTGCAGAATGTGTGAGCAGAGGGTGATTCCTCTGAATCTGCGTATTGTTACTTATTGACTACTTTTCCCCCTTACCTCAATCTATGGACTGAAGGCAATGGCAATAACTTCAATGAAGGATATTCATACGACAAACCGGTACACATTCATTGTAGCAACCACACAGAAGAAATTCCATCACAGCAACTGCAAAATTTTTGTTACATCTAACACAAACCATTAAAAGCTAGGGTGAGAGAATAGGTTCAGAATAAGAAAGGATCACGAGGTTAGCCCGCATCTTCTCCTAAAAACTGAGTTGCTAATACTACACTTTTAAAATGTTTGGTTGTTTTCTACATTTCACATTCATCCTGATTTAGGAATCAATACTAGAGTGAAGCACAAATACTGCAAAGGCACAATACATACAATAATGGATATTTCCGATCCTAGCAGAATTACAGTACCAGAAGCATCTCTAGAAATCTCACTTTTGTAGCCATGAGATCAATTAATATTGGGATAAGCATCTAAGCTTTTGGGTACTAATAGGGGTCTTTTCACTGAAATATCCAATGTTCTTGTTCATCACCTTCAGTTTCCCATCAGTGTCCAAGTTTACTTTTTTCTCTTTAAGAAAAGGCTTTCGTAACAGGAAGGGTTGAATTATACTGTCCCGCTATAACAAATGAATCAACTATTTCCTCATTTCCCTGCTAATGAAGTTCAGCCTATCCTATTAATGTTTTCCAAAAGAAACAAGAATAATTTAAATAAAAGCAACATGAAGTATTTTTAGTGCAGTTTCTAGAAAAGAGAATAATCCCATGTCTCCAAGGAAGTGAATGCCTATGTAAGAAATTAGGTGGATTGCAAGAATAAGATGATCGTCCTTCACAGAAAATTACATTAAAAGACGGTCCAGAGCTGAGAGAGACCTTCTCTTAGGACCTGTTCTTCCTTCTCTGAACACTTACCTTTGTGAGAAAACATCTCGGTAGGGGCTGCCGTGCTGCAGTGCGATCCCATATCCTCTGTCCGCAACAGTGTTCCCGACCGTGTAAAAAGAGCAGTCTGCGTCGTTGATGGCCACGTACTCCAGTACTGCTGCGTCCCATACAAAGGCATAGTTCCCGTATTTCACCTGCAGTAAACAGAGGAATTGCTCAGACTATGGACTGTGAAGTCCCAAAGGAGGTCAGTGCACCTGAAAATGTGACAGTTTCAGCACAGTCTGTTCTTTAAAGAAATTGAAGTTTGGGTGCCCAACAGCTGTTACCACACAAAGCACACTGTGACTGGTGCTGTGTGGTGCTTTGGCTGAGCACCTCAGCAGAAATGGAAGAAATGTGATCTGAGAACAACGTGCTGTCAGCGGAACAGTGCAGTGCAGGAAACCCGTACTGACCCTCTTCACAGAACAAAGGAAACATCAGGCTCCCTCCATCAATGTTAAACTCTACCTCAAGTCCTCCCCTTAGTTTTTATTTTGATCTGTTAAAACAACCATTTAGAGGGAAGGTAGGTATTCACATAAGGAGAAGTGTGGGAGGGTAGGCATGACTACCCAGATGGAAGACCACCGTTCAAGATGGTCCACATTTCAGTCATACTTCAGGTTGCCATAGATGGCATGAAAACCCATTTGTTTTCTTGGCTCAGTGCATGATTGTGGGCAAGCCTATGCTGGCTAGATTTTTTGGGATTATTTTTCTCAGCATGAAAGGTTTTCACATATCTTCAAAGCAAGATCATGTAATCATTTTAACTGTTTTACTAAGGTAAATCCAAAACAACTCATTATCTTGAAAAGCTTTTAAAGTAACATTTTACCATCCATTCACTTTTGTAACAAATCCAGATTTTTCTTTTCATTTAAATATATAGATGTACACAAAATTTCAGCATTTATTCAGAAGTAAGCTTTTAAAAACAGAAATTCAGTCTAAACAAATCCTTCCGTATTTCAGTGAATTTCCTCTTTCCAGTCAAACCATATTTTTCTGAAAAAAAAAAAAAAATTTCTAGCTGTTCTACCAGGTCTTTTACTAGTTTTCTGTTTCTTTGGTCTCTTGTGGTAGACCTGAAGAATCACATTGCTTTTCTCCTGACCCTCTGCTTGGCTTCACTCAGCACTTTCTCTATGCCGTATTAGCCAGCTAAGCTGTAAAACTAGGCTGAACCCATTGACTTTGTACATCTAATGGGAATAAATATGTGACAGCTAAGTGAAAAGCAAACAAAACACAAAAAGGCCATCTGGGGCCAGGCAATCCAGAGAGAATTCAAAACCAAGTCAGCATATCAAAATAAGCAATGTCAGTACATCATTTAGATTAGGCTTTGACAATGTAGATTATGTTTTTAAAGACTGTTTACATATAAAAGCTACTGAAGCAAGCCACACCGGCTGCTTGCTCACAAGATGTAGTGCACAAGAAACGACTGCATTTGGGACACATTCCTTTTCATGCATAATCAATCTGAATTAGACACTGCAGGCCTGGAAAGGGAATAGTTCCTGTTTCCATTAGTAGGCATGGTACAGGGCGCACTCGTGCAGATTTTGGAGCAGAAATGGAGTCATATTATCTGTGGACTCTGCTTGATTGGCAGGAGAAAGAAAATTCTTTTCAAAATACACACACGCAAATGCAAGACTGGGTGAGTTTTAATCTTCGGGCTCTGAAAGTGGTCAAGAAAAAAAAATGGAAAAATTTTTTACCATGAGAGTTGTAGAACACTGGAACAGGTTGCCCAGAGAGGTGGTGGATGCTCCATCCCTGGAGACGTTCAAGGCCAGGCTGGACGAGGCCCTGAGCAACCTGATCTAGTTGGAGATATCCCTGTTCCTTGCAGGGGGGTTGGACTAGATGACCTTTGAAGGTCTCTTCCAGCCCTAAGCATTCTATGATTCTATGATTCTAAGAATAGATTTTTTTTTGCCTCCCAGTGGAGGATTAGGTCTATCTAAATGAACAAGGAATCCTTTATATAGAAGTTAACTCGCGGTTATCAAACAATACAACTTTTATGCTGTCTTCTAGGCACTGAAACTCACAGAGCTCTTCCTAGCTTGGGTTATTCTGATCTTCCTACAGGCACCACTTGGCTAAGAAATAGATTGCATGACTGAGAAAAAAGCCCTTCCTAGGAGCAGTTAAAAGGATAACGACTTAGCCTGAAAAAGAATCAGGATGTGCAAACAGCAAGGGAGGGAAATAGGAGACAAAAGCAGAAGATCAGATGGGGAAATGAATCCTGAAAAGGATCAGATGGACTTTCCAAACAAAGGAATTAAGGAAAAGAGGGGTTCAAAAGATGAGTAATTTTACATGTAGGCAGATAACCTTTGAGGTAATGGCAAGAGCAAAGGGTTATGTTGTGACACCTGCTTTTGTCCTAACCCACCTAACTCTTTTTCTGTCCTAGTGCATTGAATTCACCTAAGTGCTTGTAAAGAGACTTATCAGCTGCTCAGCTGGTCAGGAAAAATTCTCTTGATTTGGTTGTCTTGCTGTAAAACAACTCGCAGTGAGAATATATAAAAGTGGTAAAAGCACTTACTGTCAATAATATCTGTGATGAAGTGGTATATATAACATTCTTAGAGCAGACCTGATAACATCACAGTGCAGTTTCCCACAAAGATACTACTTTTCATAGAAAAGATCACAGTGAGTCTCAGTTAAAGCGCAGAAGGCAGGAAAGAGATTGAAGAGCCAGAAGTGACCATCCCAGCCATCTACCTTGAGCACATGATTGCTCCATGCAATAAAATACATCCCTTTTAGCATTTCTGCCCCATTTACAAATCTAGAGAATTCAAATCCATGGAGCAAACCTAAGTTGCAATTGTCATGCCTGCAATCACTCTCTTTAAGGAACTACTCTTCCAACAGTTTTCATTGCTATTCAATGTGATTTTTTTTTTTTTTTTAATTTAAATAACTTTCTTACGTCATTCATGGTTATTTTTCTTTTTGCAATTCTGAATACTCTCACTTTGGGGCTAACATCTTTTGATTATTGATGAACCTTTCTGTTACTTAACTGGGCTAGATGTAACGTACTTTAATCTCTCCTTGCAAAGCTATCAGTTCACTTCTCCTATTAGCAGTGATACTACTTTTGAATTGTCTTCAATTCTTAATTTTTATATATGAGAAAAACACCTGTCTTGCTAAGAGAGACTCAGTTATCTGGAAGCTGAGGAGGCATATGATTCACTTTCTAGCATACCCTTCTTCTGAGATTCATAGACTAAACCATATGCCCGTGGATCTTTCACATAGCTTAAGACTGGTTTTAGCCTAAAGATCTAAGAATAAAATTTTGCTAGGCTATAGCACGTCTGGAACACTGCTGATATTTTACAGATTTGCACCTACAAACAAGGGGTAGCTATACTGTGAAAAGGGAGGGATGATGCTCTGTGTGAAAGGAGAAGGGAATTTTAAAACAACATGTCAATTAAAAATCTATATCCTTCTCTCTCTCCTTCTTACTGTGAGAAGCACATATCTTGTAACTTTCCAATAGCTATGCTGAAGACTTCCACTTTGGGCCTCAAAATAAAAAGCAAAAATTCCAGCTCTGCATTTTTTAAAAAGTTAAGGAGCTTACAGTCAGTCAATTAGGGGGGCTAAATGAAAGCAAAATCTCCTTGGAAAAAGAAACAGTTCTTTGTCATATACAAAACTCACTACTCACAGAAGATCCGCATCCCTGATTCTACATTTACTTGTCTAATTTACTTGTCTAATTACACTATTGGCATTTAGTGTTGAGATGGTAACATTTCAGGATGGTGGCAAATCTGAATGCTGTTCACACACGACTGTGCAGCCCAGGATTGCCTGGGAAGCATTTGTACAAGGGCAGCATATTATCATTCAGCAGCAGACCCAGCTTTCCAGTCCACCAGGCCATGGAGAACTGACACTTCAGTCTCCTTCCCCATGGCATCCTGCCTGTCAGCATGGCAGAGGCTAAAAAGATTTTTGGAGTATCTGATGACTATTGCCACTGGGGAAAAAAATAAAATACAGGCAAAATTGAACCTGTTAGTTGTTCATCAGGGTATTTCAAACTTGTGTGCTATACTGGTTGTTAAGTGGACCTGGAAGGTACAGTACCAGACAGAAATGCTTGACTTGACTTCATGGTTTTGTGAGCAATTCCAAAGGAATTACTGTAAAAAGAGTTGTTACACAGAATAGAGGCCATCAGCACATAGATGGTAAAACTATGTCTGTAAGGCTGTTGTATTTCTATTTTCTATCACTGCACATTTATGAGATTCTTATTTGCTGAAACCCTGACTGTAGATACCAGTTAAAATTTATCTTTGATGACTCCACCAAAAACCAGTTGAGTTATACGAGGAAAGCATTTAAAGCCATTATGCACATATTTTACACCAACACCGATATGCACAGTATTTCCTCTTAGAGCTAACTCGTTCATGCAGAGTAGGCTGAATAATGTATTTGTGTACAACTCCAGCATTCTAAAAACACATTTCTAGGCCTAGAAAATTATAAATTTCAGAAAAAAATAATTGTAAGTAAACAACAACCAACTACTGCAATTTTTCATACTTGAATTCCTGGACAGTATCTTTTCTGTATTTTAAATTCCTCTTTAAAAGAGATACAAAGAATCCTCATGAAAGAAAAAACGTACACAATAGGCTGCAGGTTGAACAGAACTGACAGTTATTTTTCCTGCAGACTTCTTTTAAATATTTCATCACACATAAAATGTGTTACCTGTTATAAAAAAACCCACAACTTTTAAAGCCAGGGAAATCTTAAGATACTCCAAGTGATTAAAATATTACTTTCCTGGAAGAAAATCTGAAAATTATTAGATAATGCTGATGAAGCACATTTTCTGAATAGCCTGTGCCTACATCCCAGAGGCACAGTGGTTATGCTTTTTCTACTCATTTCCATTACGAGTCAGGTACCATCCTTCCCCTCCAACTGCTGTATACCTTTCCCTGCCTCTGAAGTTGTCCGTTGTATTTTTGCCAAGAACACATGAACAGAAACAGTCTTCCACAGCATAGCAGCAGCGACTCCAGCTCTGACTTAAAACCAATTGAGGACACTGACTAATCACCTGCTTCATACATGT